ATAAACTAAAATTTAGTGGGCTACATAACAGCATACTCAGAATGTTTCTACGACGTACAATTGAAAAGCTAAAAATTTTGATGAAACTTTGTCGAATTTTGCTAATTTTGTCCACATGGTTTTTATTTCATAAAAAAATAATGAAAATTAAACAATCGAAAAGGAAATAGGCAAAGAATGATAAAATCTCTCTTCCCTATATATATTTTTGCCACTGTATGTAAAAGCATTTGAATGTACGGATTTAGTACATAGATAAACTGTTTAAGTTTTCAGCTTTAATTGCAATGTGTGTAATAAAGTATTTTTATAATTATTTTATAGTTATTTTCTCTTCATCTCCGGTACGCCATTGAATCGAATGTACTACATAATGAAACAAAAAATTAAATTAAAAAATTTCTCGGACATCAAGAGGTCAACGCCATTCACCGATGATCAGCGAAGTTGTCTACATACATACAAATGTACACATTTACATACATACATATATACTTAGGGCGAAAAATTGTGTCTGCTGTGGCATGCAATGGGAGCGTTTGTTAATAAAAGCACAACAACAGCCACAAGGCCCACATACGGAAGCCAATTGCGTGCGTGCACGCCCTAATGCAGCTCGCTCCCACACAGTCCTTCACTGCGCTGCCACGGCCTAGTCATGCTCTACACTCTGTGTTGTGTTTGACATTTTTATATCGTTGCCGCCACAGTTTCCAATAGTCACCACATTCACTTCATTCGAGTGAGCACAGACGCCACTCAATCCAAGTGTATAAGTACAATGGGTAAAGTACTAACTACATGGGCGTTTCCAGTGGAAAGTCTACCGCGGAATAAAAAAAAAAAAATAAAAGTCCTATATTTAACTTATTTATAGGCCGATTTGGCTGCCTTTTATAATACATATATACTGGTTATGTAAGCATAAACATTTTTGCCAAAAATGATCAAAAATGGATATTTTGCAAAACCATTGGTAAAACATAGATTTGCAAAAAATGGAACAGTTGATGGCGCTTAGATAAAAATAAAAGGTATATTCTACATAAAATGCATGTTTTCTTCCCGTAAAAAATTCTTTAAAGAACAATATTAACAACACTTTTTCCATGGTAATTTTAGTAATGTAACGTCACACCAGATACTACAGTTGATTAAACAAATAGCAGAAAATATTTTGAAAGAAAATTTTTGTGGAAAACTGAGATACCTTAAGCATTTCTTTTTTGTACTGAATAAGGGGCCATTTAATTGCTATGCAAATATAAAAAAAAAACCTTTTTAAAATTTTGACTTTTTCAATACATATTTTAAACATTTTGTCATACAAGTGTCACGCAACGCTGGATTGGAAATACCCATATATATATAAGATATGCATACATAGTGTGTGGATGACACAAACGATGCGGCAAATGTGGGGAAGTAAATGGCACAAAAGTAATAAAAGTAAGAAGAGGAGTGCCGCTTAGCCGAAGAAGATGAAACAAGGAAATTAAAATTAAATTCAATTGAACTAACTGGCAGAGAGTCAAGTGCAGGTGACCCACATTCACGAACTCTAATAGTCAATCTCTTCGTTTTGCAATTCCATGAGAAGATATGCACGTACATACATATATACATACATATATACATGCATACATATTTGTATGTATAAGTAAAGGTATTTTAAGGGAATATAAAGTTTAAAGTTTCTACACCTTATCTCTTCAAATAAATAGTTAATTATTGTATTTGAGGATTCATTTAGAAAGTTCTATTTAAAAGCAATATATCAACTGAAAGCTAAAAATGCTCTTGAAAAAAAATCAACTTTTGCTAAGGCGCATTGAGCAAGCTATCTAATAGCAGCAGATCCGCTTTTTGGTTCTTTTCATGCGTTCAGTCTCTAAATTATCAAACTTTGAATACATTTTATTTATGTACCTATTAATATTCTAGAGTCCAAAATCAGCAGGAAATAAATAACACAGTCTTTGTTGTTTTTGTTCTAATGTCATTACCTGTTCAATATGCCTTGACTTTGGCCTAGCAAGGTTAAGTAGTTTTAAAATTTTGTTAATTTCAAGAAATGTTGATTAGAAATTTTACTTTATACTCGTATGTACATAAATGCTGTGTACAGCGTGGCGACGAATAACTGTTACCCCGGTTTTTTTTTGAGAAATAAAAGGGTCCTTTATAGATTTTGCGAAAAAAGTATATTATTATTAATTTTCCACAGATTTTACTTTAGTTGTATTAATTAGTTTTTAAATTTGTATCCTTATTTGCATTTGCCAGCAGTGTAAACTTTGAGAGAAAAGTTCATTTGGCACGCAGGTCTTCGTTAGTTAATTTATTACATATCTTCTGTAACCCTAGACAAATTTTCTCCATTTTGAGTCCCTTATACTCCCCTTTTTGTCCAACATAAGGCCTCATACTCATAAATCGAATATACTCGGAACTAGTGACTAGGACGGCCATTCATTCGACCAACCTTATAAAGTTTTTTTTTTTTCTTTTTTGTATTTTTTTTTATACAAAACCTAAAAAATAATACACCTGAAAAAGACTTGCGTGCCAAGTGAACTTTTCTCTCAAAGTGTAAACTGCTGGCAAATGTAAATAAGGATTAAAATTTAATAACTAGTTACTACAACTAAAGTAAAATCTGTGGAAAAATAACAATAAAATACCTTTTTCACAAAATCTATAAAGGACCCTTTTATTTCTCAAAAAAAAACCGGGGTAACAGTTATTCGTCGCCACGCATGACCATGACGTTGACGTTGTTTATATCTCTCTCTATCTCTATCAACAGCAAATTTGATATGTTTCTACGCGCTTCTACGGTACCCTGCGTACACATTCGTGGGCAACCGCGCTCTAACACTTATTTTTTCTCTTCCAGCGATAAGTGTCCGTGTCCAACAGTAACGGAAAAAGATATGCAAAAAACCCTTTCCCACTGAGAGGAGCACACATCTACAAAAAATAAACCACCTGTTTTGGTTTGTGGGTTATTTTTTCTCTTAAATAGGGACGGTTATTTTGGGACACTTTCAAAGTATTGAGGGATATTTTCGACCTCTGCTTCCAGAGATGCGTAGTATGAAAAATTTGGTTTGTATGGGAGGTGCCACGACCCCTTTTCCAACTTCATTCAACGTCAGGGTATTCATATTTTTGACGCTGACTGTATGTACTATCAAATCGACGAAACGGGTTAACGGCATAAGATCAGCGCGTCCTCTCAAGTGTCTACGTAGCGAGGAGCGCAATGAGTTCTAAACCTATTGCGTAAATTAAAGGATCTGTTTTTTTCAAGTTTTCGGTGAGGCACAGAGGTTTGATATTCCTGGTTTTCCGGAAAACGGGAAGATATTGCCTGCTTTGCATTTGTAACTTGTTCAATTTTTTTTCCATGCTTGGAGACTTGAGGTGCAAAATAATTTCTTATGAAGTCATTGATGGAAAATTACGTTTCGTGAGGCATACAGGCCGATTCTGATCAGAACATCCCTGGGAGTTTTCTCTATTTTTCCTTCCCTCCTATCATGAATAAAAATTCCAATGGGGATCTTTAATATTAAAAGAGTCAAACTGCTTTTCGTTCGAATTTCCTCCACTCAAGTTTTCGGGGAAAATGCTACTCCTGGGAGTTAATTATTGATGGATTTCTCTCTCGGGAGAATTAAATTCCCGGAGAACATACTCTCCGGGAGTATTAAGAATTGGCCTGATAATGTTTGAAAAGTTACCGAGACCGGGAGGCTATATTCGCTTTGAATCCCTTGATTTAATATAAAATAATTAATTTCCACTATCATACTTCTGATTAACAAGAAAAATGGTTTCCTTACTTCTTTGGCTCAGCGTAATCAAATCAAATTGCAGTTATGTATGTACTGTATGTACATTTATGGATTTATGTACAAATGATAAATGTATTTGCGCCAGTGAAGTGATGGATGGCACTTGCCTTCTTTCTTGAATGGAGCGCTGACTGCTACTCACTCTTTCGAAACAAAGTGTCTAACGGTAAAATGCGTGACTGAGCTACAAGCCAGACTCAAAAGTTGAAAGAAAGAACGGTATTCTGCGGGGGAGAAGTGGGGGCATTTGGTAAGAAATTCTACAGCGATAACAGTATGAATGACGTACGCCGTCAAATACAGCGACTGCGGCATAAGCGGTGATATCATTCTTCGAATTTTCGAAATCCAATTGGATTCAACATTCAAGCTCGGAACACTTTGATGACTGCAACTTCACGACGTAACGACAGCGACATCATTTTGTCGACAAATGTCGCCTTGCAGCCAGCTTCTTAAACATTTTGAAGACCTCAGCGACATAGCAAACAGCCATTTTAAAGTTTGACATTTTGGTATATTTATTTCACAAATTGTGTATTTTTATTTAAGTAAATAAGAAAAACATGAACAATCAAGAATATGTGATTAATTTTGCGACAATTTAATTTTGCAGCACTACATCTACTCATTGTCGCCGGCAAAATTAGAAATAGATTTAATTTGGCGACGTCGACAATTGCAGTCCTGCAGCCAAGATGTCGTGCTGTCGTCAAAATAATTGTGTCCGTAAGAACGTGTGTATTTAAAATTTGACAGATGCTGCTTGTCGCTTGCTGTCGTCAAAGTGTTCCGAGCTTCACACGACACTGTAAAATCAGCTTGCGTGCGAAAGGAAGGCAATCCATGATGAATGGTGGACAGAAAATAAAACAGGGAGTGGACATGTTTGTCAGTGTATGAGTGTGAAAGAGAGAAACACGCGATTTTATCGGAGTATCTGAAAGAATGCTCTCCACCTGAGATCATTGTTAAAATAAAAATAAAAAACTTTCATACTCTATTTCGCTACGCTTTTCATTTAATTATAAACAAGCATCTAATTATCGAGTACATTTTTAGATATTTTTTTTTGTATATATTTATATTTATGTGCTGTCAGACATATATTTGTGCAACAATTTGCACTCTTCTTACCCATCTTTTTCGTTGCTCACTTGCGCTGCTCTCAAATATACGTTCTCCGTCTGGTACAAATCCGCTCGATAGCACGTTGTTGTTATTTTATGTTGCGGCACCGCTAATGTGGTTCGAAAAGCACCACACCGATGTATATGTGTATATGTATAGATTTCTCACGTTTACAGATAGCACTCAACACGGCACGAATTGGACAATTTCCTTAACCACTACTCCGTAACCGATACCACACACACATACGCACCAAGTTGCATCAACGGTTATCGACTAACCAATCGACCAATTGACCGATTCCAATTAGATTTTTTATCCTTAGCTTTTTTCCAATAGCAACACTTGATACTCAATATTTTACAAGCACCTTCTTTAAGCCTTCTATCATTTGCAATAAATTTGTTTCCCTAGTTATTACAAACCAGACAATTGGTACGTCCCTCTTTTGCCCTTCTAATATTTCAATATGTAAACTTTTTCCAAAAATATGGAATTATATCGACATCGAAACGAATTACACACCTATTGATTTTCGATTTGCTAGAGCTTTTATTGCATTTCTTTCTTTTTATATTTACATATATCACGGAGATGCGTTACCGTTTATAAATGACACCACTAAATTTGATTTTTCTTAATTTTGCGCACCAAATAATTAACCAAAGCGCACGCCCGCTGCTACCACTACCGTCGTTCCGCTTTAATTTTCGAATGAATTTTATTTCGCTGTCAACTCGCCTTGGTCGTCTTCGAACGAAATATGCATTAAATAAGTTGCTTGCCATCGTTATAACATGCGGAATCCAGGTCATAACAGGTTAGCTCGTGTACAGGGTGGCTCAAATATAGTGTGTGTATGATCTGGAAAAAAGCAGGTTTTCGACTTGGGTTCGGAAGAAAACACATGAAAAGGGTTGCAAATCGCAGGGTGCACTTGATATTATTTATTTGTTATTCGAATAAATTTTTTGATGACGCATTTCCGGACGTCTTTTTTGCAGTAATTTAAAAACAATATTTTGATGATGCATTTCCGAACGCTGTGTTTACAATTTGCTTTTTATAGTAGGGGTTTAAATTTTTAATTTTTCAAATTAATTCGCAGTTTTATAGCCCATTAAATTTGCGTAAACTTGTACAAGTAGGTACCAATTGTTACCAAATCGTGTTCGTTAGGCCAAAAAACTAGTAAAACTTGCAAGGAGAGAGCGCAATTTCGGCATTTCATTTGTAGGCGAAGCTGTAAATTCGTGCTAGGAAAATTTTTTCCAGCAATAATTTGCAAGCAGAATTGTGGCACACGGTTGCATTTTTCTCAATAATAATTTGATTCAACCAGTTCATCAAATTTGAAAATGAACAATCTTGTTGCGATTTACTAATGAAAGAAGTATGCAAATATTTGTTTATTCAATTTATTTAATTAAATCCAAACATTTAAATGGTAAACAGCTGAAAAAGCTGTATTCGTAATCGGAACAACTGTCGATAGAGGAAATCCGACAGTGACTTCGACAATGAAATTGAAGCGTATGTTGAAGAAAGTCAGCATAAAAAGAAATACGTAAACGTATAGGTCCTGTTTTGTAACAAATAAATAAAATAGAAATAATTAAAAAAATTTATTGTGTTCGAAATGCAACCTTGGACGTCAGCTGACGGTGAAACTTGCAAATGCTTGCTAATTCCTGTTCGCGCAAAACTTAGTAAGTTTCTCTCTTTGGAAGAGTAAGATACCTTATTCTCTGAATTTTGTTACTGGTCAATTCTTACTGGCATTTGCATAGCGAACAGAACTAATGTTTTTCGTGAGCGTTAGAAATTAAACTTACATATATGATAGTAGTAAAATAAAATATATATGAGAACTATAATTAACTACATAAATACTAAAAATTTTGTTTCATATTTCTGTTGAAAATACCAGGGTCGGAAAATATTCATTTTATAAATTTTATAAATTGGAAAATACCGAAAATTAACTCAAAATGAACTCCTCCTTGGTTGAACATATTGCACATTACCATGTACCTTGGCGTTTTCAACCCTATATATGTATATAGCAAAAATATGGTTCATTATGCTCTAAAACCAATCTGTATAAAAGAGGACAATTTTTGGTCAATATCTTAGGCTCGCCCAAGTTCAAGTTCAAGTCAAAGTTCAATGTGCTCAAAAAATACAAATATACAAAAAATTAACAAATATATGCATTAATTAAAACATTTAGTGCTACATAATTTGGTATATATTGACCTTTTTGGTAGAGAATCGAAGGAAACTACGAAAAAATTTTTTTAGCACTTGAACTTTGATTGACTTGGGCGAGCCTACGATATTGACTACAAATTGTCATCTTTCACACAGGTTATTTTTAGAGCATAATGAACCATATTTTTGCTATTACCAATCAAAATTTTAAAAAGGCGCATTTTCGACCCACACTAATATGCAACTGCAACAGCCTGCGCGAGAAAAGTGAGAAAATAATATGAGAATGGAGAAAGTTAAATTTCAGTGCACCTATGTTTGCGAAATAAGATATGGATGTGTATATTTTCCTTATCCAGTGGAGATCTGAGGAAAGGAATCTCAAAAGAGATTTAACAAGTACTAAATGCATTGTATTCGATCTTTTAATTCATCTTATTTATAGTATATTTGTGTGAAATGGGCATAAGTTCCTTTTAAATAACATTACCAACAAAAACTATAATATGTATGTATGTAGTAATAATCCATTTATAATGTCAAAACAAAATAACCGTAAGCAACTTTATACGTTTTCTCATACATCATTTGCCTCATAATTTCATTACTAATTCGATCATTATTGCAGATGTATTTAAAATTTCTCTCAATATAAATGTATTTTTTTAATTGCGGACAATTACTGGTAAAATTGGCATGACAATTTCCGTCAGCCTGCAAAAAGAAACTCGTTACAATAAAATATTCTCTAGTATTACATATTTTACAATCATTTTTTTCCGTAAATAATACATATTCTTATTATTAATTTTTTTATTTGCAATTTCATTTTTTATTTCACTTGAGACTCAAAATATTCATACTTTTCAATGCATTTGAACATTTGAAATTTGAAATTTTTTCAATCCTTAATTAGCACGTGCGTATACCAAACGCTATCGTTACTATTCTTATTACCCCATTTCCATTTTGTCTTTTGACCTTCGCTTTTAATTTAATGATTTACATTATTTTACACACCTGCCAGTAGGGGTGATTAAAATCATAAACATTATTCCTTTACATTTTATTTATATTTCAGCTTCTCTTAGAATCAAATTTTATCTTTACTAAAATCAACATTTGTTGAACTGGAAACGGATATGATTTTTAATTATTTGCTATGTTTTGTTTTTAGTTTTTTTTTCTTTCTTGCTATATTTACGTATGCATCGTACGAACCTAAGAATACGAAAGTTTTTAATATGCATTAGCTACGTAAAATATGCTTTAAATTTTGTAATCAATATAACGGCATGTAAGTTTTCTAGGTATCCACACTCTTACTTTTTCAATTGTAATAATTGTTATATATGCATTAAATTTATATTTTCCGATTTAAGTTTATGCTACCACCGCAATTTTGTCTATTATGCGGCTTAATGCTACCGATGTGAATGTTGTCCCCAAGTAGAATTGCAACTAGATTGTGCCCGTGCCTATTCTTCATCGGAATCACCCTCACTTGAATAGCCGGTTTGTTGCGGTCGCCGTACAAATGGTGCTGTTATAACTTGACTACAAAATATGTACATGGGTATGTACAATGATGAATAGTTAAATTTTGAAACTTTGCCTTGAAAGATTCCATGCTTACGCGATTCTTCGATAGTGATTTAACCATTCTTCCAGCATTTGTGCAACCAACAGCGGTCGTTTTCGCAATTTCTGCTGCGCCACAAGTAAACCTCCATCAGTAACGCACACATCTAGCCACTGTCTCATAATAGCCTCTTCGCGACCCATCTGGAAAATTCGAAAGCATTGAAATAACTGCCTATACCATTTATTTACGCTATACTACCTCTGCCTGTGTTAAGAAGTGTATTGGCAATAGTTTTGATTCACAATCCATCAAAGGTAAATAACGAACATCTTCTGGTTCATCTCTGCGTGGATCAATGCGAGCAAATGGCTCCATCGGTACTAATGCACTGAAATGTCCGCGGGTATATCCCAGAGCAATAGGCGATTTTATGCAGAAATTTTGATCCCAAAATAAAGGCAAGTACAAACCTAAGCAATTGTTTTATTTGTGGAAATTTTTTTTATATGAATTTAATTCATTTTGAATGTATAAATCTAAGTAAAATGAGTTACCTTCGAACCTCGCATAGCCAATATCCTCGCCACGGAAACTTTTTACATATTTCACACCGTAAACGATGATTGGTCGTCGCAGTATATGGGCCAACGCAAATATATGTAACTGCTCTAATGATGAGCCCGGCTGGCTGGCTAACGATAGCAAATTACTCCAGTCATCTTGCCACTGGGCATCTTCCAAGGTAAATTGCAACATTGATGCCTGCCACTTTTCGTACTCCTTCCAACGCGGATAGAAACTGAGAGAATCAGTATTGTGTTATTATCACTTACAACTTGAATTTGAGTTACTTACATTGGGCCACACTGATGCAAAGTGTCTGCCAAGGCGCGTCGAAGGGTGTTGTCGCGGTCAAATACACCCCAAGTTGCTTGCATTGCCGAGTCTAAGAGGCAGTCGCCGGCACTGCGATTCCATAATACCAACAAGCGTGAGCCCAAACGGGCTGTGATCTCCAACGACCAATTAAGTGCGGGAGGAGGGTTCTCAAGCTGTTTTTGTGCATCGCGATCTAACAATTCGTCGTACAGCTGTTCTTGGATTTGAATCGGCAGCTCTTCTATCTCAGCTGGTAAAGCAAATGTAGCATGCTCTTGCACGTAGAAACAATTGAAGGAGGTTTTACGCATGCGTAGTGTATTAGCGAAATGTCTTCGTATATCAGCGGCTAAGTCTGGAGCGACATAGGAAGGTACACGTTTAATACCAGGCCCAGATCCTGAGATCTGTGCAAGTAACATGGGCAACATCTCTTCTCGATGAAAGCGTATCGCCAAATGAATAAGCGTATGACCTACATCGAACGCTGAATTGCGATTTAAGATAGCGATTTCCGTCGCGGTTAAAGAACGTGCCGGATTACCACCACAGGACAAGTATGCTTCTACTGCGCTGTAGTTATTCTCCACAACGCCTTCAAATTATTTGAAATAGATTATTTAACTTGATTACTTTTATTTAAAGGCAGTCTTACCAAGACAGGCATTCAGCCATTGCCAGTCAACTTGTCTTCTAATTTGACGCTGGCGCCGTTCTTGACGCTCTTGTACCGTATCACAGTTGTTTATAGTCTCAGAAGAACCTATAATTCGCCCATATCCAAAAGCATGCATTACTCGTGCATTTTCATTATTATTAAACAAGTCTAATCAATACTCACCCAGTTGGTAAATATGTTTCTTGTTGAATGAATTATTCGTTGACACCGTCATATCATGATTTTCATCCTTTACATTGAGGAATTTATTGCTACCCGAACCGGATGTTGCAGTGATGGCGTTGCTGTCTCCCAAAGAAGGTATATTGGTAGTATTTCCATCACGCGGCTCCCCACACATAGAACATTTAAGACTTTTTGGCCAATTTTCATAAGTACATGTCTGCATAAAAACATTAAATTGGTTATATTACGAGCAATTATTGCCCACAAACAAGAATTAACTTACATTACAGGCCCATTTCGCTACATAACAGTTCTGCAGAGATGTGGACGACTGATTGTGCTGCGATTGTTGCTGCTGCTGCGACGAATTCGCAAGATTATTTAAGTGAGTTGTGTTTACAGTTGTAGTAGGCGCGGCGGTTATCATATTAGTAGTGGACGACTGTTCAAAAGTGCTCAATCTATTTGAAGCAGCACCTACCGATTGAATATAGCTGTTACTCGTTTTTTTGTGAATTTCTGCAGTATGACTGCCTGCCTCATTCTTTTGTGATTCCGCAATATTACTAGCATTCAATTCCATATCGTTAGTGATACGTAAAGCATTTAACTGATCTTTGAGATTGTTAGAAGAAACTGTATTAGTGTTGGTAATATTAGCAGTAGCCTTTGTTTCTCTACACTCTGCAGACTTTGATCTTTTATCCATGTATCCTTGCGGACAATCAATTGTATCTATATTCCCAGTTGATGCTAAAGCCACTGCTGCGGCTTCTCCACTATTGCAAACCTGTTGATCTACGTTGAGGTCGACAGTAGTAGTACCACGTTTAGAACAACATTGTACGCAGCGTAAACTTCTTGGCCAATTTAAATAGGTGCACATTTTGCAGGACCATTTAGCCAAAGTAGATGGGGAGGCTGTAGCGGGTAATGTGGAGGAAACATCTTGCCGCGATTGAGTATAGCATGCATTGAGGCTGGACGCCTCGACCACATCGGCAGTTGCACCGCGCTCCTCCTCGCCATCGAAAGCAGTTTGTGGTGGACTCAACCTAAAAGTAAAAACGTTATATTATCTCATGTATTAGTATATTAGAAATATAAATTACCGAAATATATCCTCATTCAGCAGTGGTTTCGCACCCTTGCACATGGTGCATTTAAGGGAGGAAGGAAAATTTTCATAGGTGCAATAGTCGCATATCCACTTTTGTACTTTGCTCGCATCGGAATCGCACATTTCTTGGGCTGGCAAAGCAGTACTGTGAGCGCTAAAGATAAACTTGAGCGATTTGGCTACAATACACGATACAACAGTACACACACCTGTATGGTCGACAGTTAACAGAACAAATTTTCGGAATCTACTTTTATTATATCCTTCGAAGTCTAATTGGAAACCCAATACCCGTCTTATTAGGATTATTCCTGCTACTACTGAAGGCTAAGCCGCACTTACAACCTTTGTTTTTTATTTTTATATTTGAAACTGATGAGGGATAGCTTTAGACTGTAGGACACTGCGGCCGTAGACGCGTTTTTTCGGCCAAGGGCACAAATATATACCAGCGGGAATGCAAACAGCATCAAGCGGAAAGGATACAAAAACAAATGCAAATGGGATTAATTAAACACAGGCAATGTCGAAATAATGTCCTTGACTCTCCGTACCTCAAAATTGTGTGTGCCTACGAATATTTAAAGATAAATCAAATATGTATGCATATATGTAGTCGGAAATACTACGAATAACAAAATAACAATCAATAAGGTGCTTTGCAAATTGCATTCGATTATCACACGCTTTGACAATTTCTAATAGCGCTTTTTAGTCGCAGGCAAACAAAGAAACACGGAACAGTTATGACCAGCAAGTGCACAATAAACTTTCACTGCAATACCAATATTGAGGAAAAGTTACATGAAAAGCATTAAAAAATAATCACCTCCCGCCCCTTTACTAGAACGAATTATTGCAGCAACACACGCACTCGCACTCGCAATAAAAATCGACGTGGTGCTGGCTATTTATTAACTTCGAATTTTACTATTTCATGATATTTATTTGTTTTTCTAATTTTTTTTGGAATTTTTGCAAAATTGCAACAAATAGAAAAAATTACTGAACTCGACTGGGGAAAATGAAAATGGACCACAAATTTATTACGTCAATATTTTGACAGTTAAAATGTGTTTGCAAAACGACAGGTAATCGAAATGCGTTCGAAAACTAACGTCATAATTATGATGGCAGGGTTGCTTTTTCGATGAAAGGTAATAACACGTTCGGACCGGCATTGGAAGCATGTTTTCGTTGCAATAACTGGTTTTTGACCTAAAACTTGTGTTTTCGTCCACGTAAAATCTGTCAAGCGTTTCCCAACTTTTCTGTGACAAAACCTGTAAAACTGTAAAAGGCCAAAGAAACCAGAGAACAGAGTAAATTCTTGCAACTTCTTGCGACGCAACTGTTGTTGATGGGAATATTTCTAGACAACACACATTTGACCTTTACCTTTGGCAATTCCATTTAACTTATAAGCAGTTTTGTAGCGTTTCAATTTTGAAATATATTCTTTGAAAGTTTTGCCCGTTTTCTTCCACATAAAAAAAAAAATTCGAACATATTTTGAATGGAAGAAATGCAAAAAATTGCTAAAAATCAGCGGTACGTTCTATGTAGCTACTTTGAATTTGCACTTTGTTATACTAAAATTGTCTATAAAACTGCATACCTATAATTTTTCTAAGAAATCGCATTAAAAAGCTTGAAATCTTAACGTGTTGCTTCTTTTTAATACTGCAACAAGTTGAGCAATAAAAAAAATTCAACTATGCATTTATATGGTTTCCATTAAACATTCAACATAATTTTATAAAACCAATCAAAAAATTAGAATTAAAAAAAAAAATCTAAAACTTGTCAATACGTGGGGTATTTATAATTTTGACAAGGATTGTATACACACAATACATACATACATATATGGAATAAGAGTTATGAAACATCGCCCAATATAAAAAAAAACGGGAAAGTAAGACAAAGAAAGATAGGATAAAATAAATTGAAAAAGAGCAGAGATAACAAAGAAAGTGCTTGCAGATCGGAAGTAAATTCAGTGCGTAAACAAAATAAATATTATTATTAATAGGTGATCAACACTATAAAAAATAATGTAATTAAGGTGCATTGTGCGAAACCAAAATTTATTTTTGTTGAGCTGTAAATCTGCAAGATTGAACAAAAATTTGTGGTTTATGTCGGGGAAAGCGATGTGAATTCAGAAACTCGTTGTAGTTGAGGTAAGTAGTGATTCATTTTATTTACAGATATGCGCACATATTTTATGCGGTTTTATCCAAAACCGTTTTATTTAATGCCTTTGTTTGTTGTTTGTGACGGAACAAATACAAGTTCAGGCACAAAAATGCGATTGCGTAGTTTTTCTACAGTTATTTTCGCATAAAATCTTTTACATATGTACTACATATATACATATGTATGTACATACGTACATACGTGTGTGATTGTTTTAGGCATGCGGAAAAATATACGTACATATGTACAAATATAACCTGAAACTAAAATGTTAAAAAATCAAGTTCGTGACCAAAGTTTTCTGTTTGCTCATTATTTATCATTTATCATTGCGCAAAAAATGCATATGTAGATACATATACAGGAAAAAATCACTAGCAAAGGTTTAACAGCAGCAATAAAAAAATCAGTCCATATCAAATTAGGCACTTTTAATTTAATTTATTGTATATTTTATGCCATGCCAAAATAACGACCACACAAAAGCGCATAACAACAACTCAATTCTTTGGATTCTGGGGGAGAAAGTGTGAGCAAGCATCTTAGCCACTGATGCCGTCCGGAGATAAGTCATTGCCAACGGAGTATCCTTCCTGCAGACGTCCAAATTGATTTGGTTTAAGTAATCTCGCCACATCTTGCCAATCAACCAACGCCATGAGCATACGCACAAGGGCACTAGTCTTTTCAACATTCTTCGGGAGCTGCATCGCAATCGGACTTCTTCTGGTCAGTTTGACCACAAACCATTGGGTGCGCGCCTACCCGAAGCGCTTAAATTCTACAGTAAGTAAATGACGTTCGGATTTTAAACACAATGTCTCAATGAATTGTTTTTATTTGCTGTTTGTTTTAAAGGATTCAAAAGGCGATATAAATTTTGGTTTATTTTATGGCAACAAGGACCTCAACTATGGATTCGGTGTGCGCTCTACACCTATAATTGGTAAGTACTTTGATTGTCAAAAAAGGAAAGTTGCGATTTATATATACGCCAAAAAATAAATACACACATATGTACGCATAAACTTGTACATACATATGTACAAACACACATATGCACTATATTTCTTTATAATTATTTTTTTAATTATAGTTTACACCTTCGATCAAAACGGACCAGAAACAATGAACTTCTGGCTTTGGTTAATCACAGCTTTGGGTACCGGCTTTGGTTTACTGGGCTCTGCGATTTCAGCCATTGCAGCCGTTTTAAAAGCCGCTTCTGCGGCAAAACGCCCTGGAACTATGGTACTACTTTTCGCTTCAAACATTTCAGCCGCAGGAGCACAAGTGATCGCTTTTATTTGCTGGCTTGTTCAATTCTATAAATACTTACAGCAGAATGTGCTTGCAGCACAGGATAGTAATTGGTATAGTCAGGGTTTAGCTTTTTTGGGTTATAGTTTTTATTTGGTCATTGTGTCTACATTTGTTGTTATACTAAATGTTTTCATACTGTTGCATGCCAAACGTAGTGAACAACGCGATCGCCAAAGACTCGAGCCACCTAGCGAGGAGAAGAATCAAAGCGCCATAATGCTCTACTAAAAGAATGCGCCAAATACTAAGAGAAGAAATTGTTTAGAAAAAACTAGCTGATGCTAATTGGCTGGCTATATAATGGATTAGAATGCGTAATATTTTATACCATAAAGCAAAATTTCCTAACAAAGGATAAAAGTTATGCATACATATTTATACATGTATACAAATTTATTTGTACATATGTTACAGGTAGGTTTTATTTAAAAAAGCACTTCCAATTTTGTGGAAATATCTAAAGAATATTATAAAACAATGGACTGCCTTCTACTTGAAATTGCATTTGTTTTTATCTCGCGTTTCCTCGATATCTCTACTTACAAATAAACTATTTTTAAGAAGTACTTGTATACATATGTATCTGTATTCCTACTTTAATACATGTACGGTTTTTTCGAATTCAAATATTTTTATAGCAATAAATTTTTTAAAATGAATTAAATTTTAGTGTAAATAGAGTTTTAGAAGAAGCGGTATGTATTTTCGGGTAGATGGGCTGCAAAAATCGCAACAATCGCGGTAAAGTGGTAGAATACGTAATTAATAATTTAAACCTCTGTACTAAATGATGTCAGACCTACTCATTTCTCAACCCACAGAACGCGGTTCCCTACGTTTGCTTCCGATGATAACCTGGACCATATTAGATAACCTTTACCACAGTGACCACTTTCCCATAGTCACAGAAGTTAGCAAAACCCAGAATAATGCTAAAGACTACAAAGAAAAAAGATTCCTACTCGATTTCGCCGATTGGATTAAATTTCGCACAAGTGCCGAAGAGGAACAAACATGAACAAAGAGGCAAATAATGTAGCAAAGGTTACTCGCGTAGTTGCCAGTCTTTCCATTCAATCAATCTACGCCATAAAAAAAGCTCAAGCTACAATAACTGAACCTAAGTCAAACCTCACCTCTTTGCTCTCAACTGGTCCGAATGGTGCAACGACTCTAACTTTTCCGATCAATTCAAATAATCGAAGAATTCACCCATAACGCCAAATCAAGTAACATCTCAATGGAGCAAATGCTTTTTACTTTAAAAAAAAACTAAAGTTAAAACTAGAGGATTATATCGCATTTCATACACCATGATTAAACGCCTGAGAATATCTGTAACAGCGAGATTTCTAACGTTATACAATAATATTTTCCAATTCGGCACGATTCCTCGAAGCAGCAAAAGCGAAACCATCATCCCTATCCCAAAGCCGCAAAAAGAGTCAAACCATCTCGAAGCCTTCCGCCCGATCTCCCTAATTTCATGCCACTTGAAACTAGTAAAGAAAATAGTGGCGGCGCGCTTGCTTAGAGGATGTACGGATGCCTTGGCGCACATTGACTACCATGTGGCAAAGACCACTTCTCTATGTTGTAAATAGCCTTTGAATTGTGAAAGTTTCAACAATGGTGGGTAGGACCCAAAATTTTCTATTTCGTCAAGTCACTTCTACTAAAAAATTCGAGTCAAGTTCAATCTTCGGGCATGCATTAATTTGACCAAATAGTCCTTAACAACTGGTACACGTACTCAACGATCTCAACTCCGCCAGCTATGAACAGTTCTACCGGTGGTATATCGCCGGCTATGGGGGATTTATTGTTTTTAAGCCGTATTATTGCTGTTCTGGCTTCTTTTTGGTTGGATGGATGTACACTAAGGGCAACGTGAGAACCCATGTGCGAGATGCGGTAGCTATCGAAATCCACTATTCATGCGATAATAGTAATCAGTGGCCTATCGCAGGCCAGTACTGGAAAGGAGGAACCATAAAGTATTCCTTAATAGTCACCCTTGACATCGAAAACGCTTTCAAAATTGCAAATCGGTAGAAAAGGCATGAGAACAATTTTCAGTTACTGAAATCTCAACAGAATAATTGCTAATTACATACTTCAAAGACCGAATGCTCCAATATAGCACTGTAAAAGGTAGCAAAATGGGCGAGTAATGTGTGCGGCATCGTCACGAAAATTAGGCTAAACTCCCGAGGTCCAAAACAAACCCCCAGAAGATTGCTATCCGGGGTTCTAAATGCAGTGATATTCTACGGTGCTCAAGTGTGGAGCTACGCAGTGCGTGTACAGTCGCATATTCGCGGCCTCAAGTTAATCTACCGGCTATAGGCGCTAAGAGTTGGCTTCGTATATAGTACTGTATCCGAAGGCGCCCGTAACACATGCTAGACATGTGGCCAAAGAAATGGGATGGATACAATGGCTGATCCCAAGCGTTGAAAAAATTGATATCACGTCCCCACGGCTACTTCTGATCGTATCTGAAAGGCTTTCAAGACGAAGAGCGTGATCACTGAAAAATGTGTGGAGATGGCATTTTTGACATTGTTGACGTCGAACATGTTTTATTCCACTGTCCACGATTAAAACTGGATAGAAATCATATTTGCTCCGTGTTTGGGGTCGAGCCTACACCAAAAAAATATAGCAGACCCTAGACCATAGCCAAGAGATCCCCGAAATTTGAAGATACCTTATCGGTTAGTTAGCGAATGAATTTAACACTTTGACAGAGTTTACCTCTGTATCTCTACCGTCTGATTTCAACCATTTTGCACTCGCAAAGCAGGTGAAATGGAGTCTCTATGTCCAGTTCCCTAAGACAAAGGACGGCTCCAAATTTATGCAATTTCTAACGGAATGCAACAGGACTGCCAGGAAGGTAGAGGTTCGTGATGAAACCACCTCCCGACGAAACACCTAACGGTAGTAAGGAGGTTTAGTTTGGCTTATAGTCTCACATTAACGGTTCTGGGGATAGGCTTTTGATGCTTCCCCCTAGTAATAAAATATATGTACATATAACAGGGTGTCCAAGACAACCCGTCTAAAATGGAGGGAAATGCTTTTACTGAAATGCAAAATTAGGGCCCACCTGGGATGCTCCAGCTTTCAGTGGTGTCACCGACCGGTTTCGATCAGGGGTCCATTTCTTTAATTTGAATATATCAGAGGTGTTGAAGAATGCAGTCTTCGTGACTTTAAATCGTGGCAGTCATATTCACTGACTAACACTTTGTTTGTCACATGTTTGACTTTCTTTTCTGTTATTCATAACTTATTGAGTAATTTTTGCAGTCTGAGGTGAATAATGAAATTCGAAAGCAATATTTGCGTATTTCATAGAAAAAAAAAGCTTAATTAAAACTCCAGTAGTATATAAAACATTTAGAAAATGTCAAAGAATTCCAGTAACTTTCTATGAAATAAATTTGTATTTATTATATGTACATAATCTGTACATATTATGTAAATGAAAAAATAACAAAGTACAAATCTCGCCATCTTGCTAGTATTTACATAGAATGATTTTCACTTAAAATATTACGCTTACGCCTTCCGCTTTTACATAAGGTAAAAGTGGGATCCACCACGGAATCGTCGAAGAAAAAATCATTTATTTTGGACGACATTTTTCATATACTTAAGTATTTTCTTTTTGTAAATGAAGAACGGTTGAAATGCAAACTAGTCAGTTCCGCTTGAGTATTTAATTGAAAATGAAAAAATTTTAACATAAGTCAATTCAATACATACAAAATATCATTTACTACTTATGTATGTGTAAATCATATTGCTACAGTTGGTATGTAGATCAGTATAAAATCTAACAAACTCCACCTCAGCCCAAATGTAATTTGGACATTCTGCACGAAAGACTTACGACACGAAACGATTTCTCATCTCAACACGCGGACGTCCCTCTCATACTTAACATTAGGCTTTTTTTTAGAGTTTTGTTTACATTTTTTGACATTACCTTTTGATTTCATGCAGAAATAAACCGAAACCGGAACGCGTTCTCGGTCCCTGGAAGACATTCAAAGTAGTGCATTCCAATGGTTGAAATCAAATAACTAACAAAAAGTGACTAAATGAATGCAATCCAATTGCTGAAATCAAGTGACTAACAAGAAATGAATAAAAATGTGATTTATGAATCATAAATAAAAAAATAAAAAAATAAAGACAATTTTTTTTTTTAGTCTTAGTTAGGACTAACAAACAATGATTGCAAACACTTGGGACCTCAATCAAATGAATAATTTAGTTAAAAATGATTGCATTCTTTAACACGTCTGGAATAAATGCACATGGTTTTACCACAGGTTTGGACTGCGCATAAAAATACATAATTTCTGTAGAAAACTTTTTTCTGGAAGGTACTGGTCTGTTTAAGACACTTCCGGTCTAAACCTTAGTCGGTAATATGACCAGAAGATAGGGTAACCCCGAACTACCCCGGTAGTTCATATTTTTTGTTTTCTAATAAATATATTTTCACTCTTTTCAGAAGTCCCTGACTATATAATTGAAGTTTGAAGGTCCTTTAAAGGTTGAAAGTGGCACTTGCAGGAAATAAAGTTTCAAAGAAAAGTTCGTATTTTAATTCTCAGAGTCTGAATCTGGAGTAAAAACATGCATATATGTATAATTAAAAAAAATTGTCTTTCGGTCAGTTTAACCCACTCCCGGTGGTCTATGACACCCTGTATGTACATTCAATGCCCTACATTGCATTGATGGAAACCCTAGGGAATCCCCGTTGATTTACTCAACAGGAGTCTCCTCACAAGCTATAGCATCCCATCGAAATGAAGATATAATTTATCCTGCAATTTTTGATGCAGATCCGTGTGCAAGCATGTTTGGATTTCGGCTTGTAAACATATTTATGTATGTATGTAAGTAACTGGGTGTATATACTTAAATAATATTGCCTCAGTCGATATATGTAGATGTCTACATACAAACTATATTTGTTTCAATTTGTGCGATGATGAGAAGTCAATTACCGGAAGGGAAGTGTGTTGTGTAGGTAGATGTATGCACGTATAGAGTTCTTCCGTTCGGACTCTTTTTTGCAACAATACCAACAATAACATTAGCGCGAGTTACCATAAACAAAGTCATATTGTGAAACCAAGGAAAGGAAATCTACAATGGGGAAGCGCTGATGATCAGCAAGCGAAGGATGTGCTGCTGCTGTGTTTTTGTGTGTGAAAAATCAAAACAAAATGCTAGATATGTCCATATATACATACATACAAACAATTTGAGGAAACCATTGGTGCACCGGTGGGACCAGATTTGAAAGGGCAATACGATTTGGAAAATAATGCCAATTAATTGATTTGTTTGCGAAATGTCACAGTTGTGACATAATGACACCATTTAATGTCTTATTTGTTTCTCTAACCAATTGTAAATATGTATTCCAATTCTCCGTTGCTTTCTTAAGACATTTGAGCGATTACTGTGGCCCAGCATGTGTGGTGATCGCCTTGTGCGGCTAGGTGTTACATACACCTTTGTGCACCCAATTAGCCGTGTGTGGCTGCTGTAGGCTGCTAAAAACTGTGAAAGATGCAGACGAAATCTGCTGAATGTTGTGACACTTCGATCATAATAATGGTACCAAAA